ATATATATATATATACTATATATATATATATATATATATATATATATAGTATATATATATATATATATATATATATATATATATATATATATATATATATATATATATCGATTGGAACGACACAACAACAATCCCGCAAGCGTATGTTTGCTCACCTGAATCATTGTCGTAGTATATCGGGGAGGTCAACACGCACTCATCGTCACGCACGAAACTTATCGATACCTTGACTTGTGGTGCTACCGTTGCCATAGTGGCAAATTATTTGTGCTTTATCCAGAATGACTACTTAAACATGTTAATGGTTCGAATATGTTTGTGATTATGTCTTCTCTATGTTAAATGTAATATTTGCGATAGTTATTTTAATTCTCGCATTCATGGTGGCAATTCTTTTAAAATATTGAATACACAATAAACCATAGCCTTCTGAAATATACACATAAACACATAGTCACATACACAGTTAAGATTTTGATAACACATACATCATAGTCCTATGACTCTTATCCTTCTAAATCACTAATCACTAATCACTAATCACACAGTGTCGTGACACCGCCCATTGGCATTTTGGTGACTCGTCAGGCCATCATCCGTGTGACCGTGTCCAAAACAAAGAAGTGCAAAATCATTAACATGCCAACACTCCCGAGTCCCGACTCCCAAGTCCCGACTCCCGACAGCCGTCACCCCAAAAAAATAATTGGAGCAATATCGGCCCGATGCCCCGATCACTCCAAATTAGGACAAGTCCGCATGCTATGTACCGGTCCTATCTTCAGAAGTTCAGCCCTTGTCTCTTGGCGCCCCGCACACTGTCCTTCAGGCTCTCAGGCTTCGCTCTCAGGCTTCAACCTTTACGGCTTATTTAGGCTTCAGCCCTCAAAGTCTGGGACTCTGCTGGGGCTGGGGCCGCTGGACTCTCACTCTGGCGGTTTGGACTTTGGCCTCTCTTGTGTGTTTCACTGTTTCGAGAGCAGGAGTGATTTCAACCCAACTCAGTCTGAGCATTTCGATTTACGAGCAACTCACATTTGATAAATATTTTCGAATGCCAATGATAACACGTCATAACATGTATTATAAAAAAAATTATCAATATTATCGAGTTATTATAGAATTGATTGTCAAACAATGATTCGATCAGGAATCAGGAATCAGGACTCTTGAATCTTGATTCGATCATTTCAAGTTGCAATGCTTCTGACTTGACTTCTGTGATTGGCCCGTGTTGCCTCATGCCTGTTGCCTCTGTTGGCTATTGTCCTGATGTCCTCAGTCCAGTTGAGGACTGAGACTGTTGGGCGTTCGCCTGAATGGCCTCTCTCTCGCAAATAACAAATTGCAATCTCTGGGGCGATCGCCTCTATGACAGTCTATGTATTTATTAATTATTTCAATGGAGAGGGCTGAGACTTGAGAGTGTCCCCCGCCCCGGAGTCCCGGACCCAAAGCCCCCGGACATACATAGAGACCCGGAGAGTGAACCAGACTTCCAGAGACCCAGACTCCCAGACTCCCAGTCACCCAGGAATCCAGGACAGTCAGTGTCACAGAGGACCAATTTGCCACCATTTGATCGTAGAGAGAGCGTCAGTCCCGTCAGAGTGTGTGAGAGAGAGCTTGCTCCGGAATACCTATATATGGGGGTGAGAGCTCCCTTACATATCACGAATGCACCTCGCCTGGAGCCTGCACATACACTTCTTGCAGAATTGCAAATGAATACGTATATATATCGCCAGCACAATATGCTAGCAAGAGTACTACGACACTATCCACACACAACAAACTCTGTACTTAAACCACTTTCCGGTTCTATAAGAGTACGCACCATGTCCAAGGACGCTTATCAGAACGTATATTCGTTCACACACAAGAGCATTGATGGCGATGAAATCCCTATGGAAACATACAAGGGAAATGTCATCGTTGCCGTTAACGTGGCGAGCGAATGAGGTTTGACCAAGGCGAATTATACCCAGCTGGAAGCTCTGGATCGACAATACCGTGATAAGGGGTTGAAGATCCTCGCTTTCCCTTGCAACCAGTTTGGTAAGTATACATGCCTGCTTGACAATCACGTGTGAGCTGTACGAACTGAAGACGGCTGCCAAGGCAGTTTGTGTTCTAATTGTATTACGCGTACTAAAATATACTGAAACATTTTGTTCATATAGACAACTCGAATTAAACTGTGATCCTCGAGCATATATGTGTATATCCATGTGTATATATATATATAAATATGTGTGTGTGTGTGTGTGTATATATATGTGTGTGTTTGTGTGTGTGTATATATATATATATGTGCGTGTGCATGTACGGATATACACATACATGTACATAAATTTTTACATATATTTGTGTATACATTTGTTTTTATATATATATATACATATATATATTAATCTCACTGTATAAATATGCTATATACACAATTTATATATATACCTATAGTTACACATACCTATTCTT